TGCTCTCTCTCAAGATACCTTAGAGGAAAGGGGTAATATGGTCCAGAGAGGTGAAGTCACCAGTCCAAGGCCACACAGCGAATGATTATAATTGCTATCTCTTCTTGTTTGTTTGTTTGTTTTGAACCCTACGACTTCATTTGTATGAAATTCTAGAACAGAAGTACTCTCTGGTGAAAAAAGAAACAAAAGAGTTGCTTCTGGGGGGGGAAGTAGGGCGTATCGCCTGAAAGGGGGCACAAAACAATGTTCTGAAACGATGAAAATGTCCTATGTCTTGACTTAGGTGTTTAGTTACACGGTGTATCCATTTGTCACTACTCATTGTACCATTCCCTTAAGATCTGGGTGTTTTAATTTTAACTAATAATGAATAAAAAAAGAATGTGTGAATAACATAGCTGTCATTTTTGAGTGCCGTATGCTGGATCTATCCAAAGTCCTTTGGCCAATCATGAATCCTCACGACCAACTTATGAAGGATGTGATTGTTATGATAATAACAAGAAAAAAAATAAGCCAGTGTTTTTGGAGCACTTTGCATTCACTTACTCCGTGGAGACTATGTGTATTTCACACCTAGCATGTGCCCCGAAGTCTTCTAGGCGTCAGACACATAGCAGTGGACAAACCAGACACAGAAAGGCGATGCCCCTCCTAGTCGGAAGGCAGATAATTCGGGGGGGGAAAAAAAAGTGAAATATAGAATGTTAGATGGGGACAAGTTCTAAGGGGGAAAGTGAATCAGAGACGATAGAAAGTGTCCTGCATTTTGGTGGCGTGTTTTACAGATTCGTTTGTAATGATGCCAGCGAAGTGACACCCCCCTGAGAAATGGACCTTGAGTGACAGCCTTGACCCAATGAGGAAACTGAGGCACTGAGCGGTCTCTGACGGAGGGGCAGGCTGCAACTACGGATCCCTCAATGCAGAATGTTGATGGCCAGAAGGTTAATGGCTTGGGCCTGAGGTCTCTACAGGAGGAAGTGGCCCTGCCCAGGGCGGGTGGGTGGGGGACCCCGTGTGGGGTTGGAGGGAGGTAAGCAAAGGGGTTAAGGAGGGGGCCTTGCAGCTGGGGTGGGGGTGTTCCAGCAGCCGGTGGGCTTTACCCAGGGCCGAAGCCTTTAGTGGGGGGAAGACCCAAAGGGGTGAAGGGGGAGCGGCAGAGGAGGGGTTAATGGGGGCGGGCCTGGCCGGGGCGGGGCCTTGGCTGGCGGCTCCAGCCAGGGGCCGGGAGGAGTCGCCTCCGTCCTGCCCCGCGGGGGCGCCCGCTGGGTCCCCGCGCCGCCGTCGAGCCCGGACCCAGTCGCGAGAGAGGCGCCGCCGCCCGCCCCGTCCAGCCCCGCGCAGGTAGGCGCCGCCCGCCCCGCCGCCCTCGCCCCTGCCGCGCGTCGCGGGGGCGCGCCCCTCGGGGGCTTCGCGTCCCTCCCTCGGCTGCCTCAGTCTCCCGCGCAGTCCCGGTGCCCGCCCCCTCTGGTGCCGGCTCTGCTAGTGTCCCCGCCGCTGACTTCGTCGCTGGCTCTGTCTCCACCTCTCCGCCTGGTGTCTGCGACGTCTCCCTGTGTCTGTGGCCCCGCTGCCTCTGGACGTGTCTCTCCTTCCATGTCTCTGGATGTCCCTGCGTCTATCTCTTTCTCTCTGCCTCTCAGCCTCCTCTGTCCTTGCCTCTCTGTCCCTTGTCCCCCTGTCTGTTGACCTCTCCCCCGTCTCCTGTGGGACCCTCAGACTCTTCGCCTCTGTCTCGGCCTCTCCTGGTCTCTGTGCGTCTCTTCGCCCTTTCTCTTCCTGTCTCTCTGTCTCTGTCCTCTCTCTCTGTTGCTCTGTCTCTGCTTCTGGGCATCTTATACCCTGTTTTGGCACCTTCAGCCCCGTCGTCTCCTTCCTTCCGAACCCTCAGCATCCCGGAACTTTCCTCAGCGCTGGGGAGTTGCTTGGGAGTGAGGTAGGGGGCAGTAGGATTGTGACCTGCGGAAAGGGACTCCAAGGGACACTGTGACCCCAGTGCCCCCTTCACAGAGTCACCCCACTGCTCATGAGGTCGCACCCACCCCACCCTCAATTTCAGGAATTTCTGGCTGGGGGGGTGGACTTCCTCCCCCACTTCCTCCCTTCCAGGATTTGGCTGGGTCACCATTAACTCTTTCCTACTTTGGCCTCATTCCTTTACTCCTTGAACTGGACATTCCCCCATCCCCACGACCCGGGTGAGGGACAGCTCTAGAGTTGCTATGAAGCATCGTTGTGGGATGTGCGTGTGTGGGTGTGCGTGTGTGTACACACTAAGGCCAGATATGCATTATGCATTGGGGACTCTGTCTGGGGGCACAGGTAGAGAGGATGTGCCCACACCCCCTCCAGGGCCCACCACCAACCCCACTCCTCCTGAGCCCACCAAGAGGCCCCCTACCCAGCTCTGCCTCTGGGGATGAACTTGACCAGGTTTGGCGTGAGAATGGGGGAGTTCTCCCTTATGGGGGAGGGGAATCCCAGCAAGAGAGAGTGACAGAACCGATGGCAGACTCCCAAAACTCTGAGGATCATATAGTCAAGAACCCTCCAGCGTGAATGTCTTTGAATGGAGAGACCCAGGTGTAAGAATGACGAGAGGGGACTGGGCATCTGATATCCTTCAGATCCAAGATCCTGGCAATGTTCAAATCCTTCAATCCAAAAAGATTAGTGTTGAAATCTTGGCACTTTCCAGTGTTCTCAGCTGAGAGCTCCAAAGGGCTCGCAGAGTCATCTAGGCCAAGGCCCCCTGCCCCATTTTACAGATGGGGAAACTGAGGCCCAAGAGCCAAGTCCCAGCGGTGAGTCAGTGCCAGGCTGGGGGGGGGGGTTGGGACTGCAGTTCAGCTGAAGCCCAAATCCTGAGCACTGGATTCTTTGGCTACCACTAAGTCGGATTAATTTGGGCAATGAGGCCTGAGATCTTCGTAGCGAGGAGCGAGAGATGCCAGGGTGAGTACGGATGGCTGGAATCCAGAAGGGAGGGTTTAGAAGCAGAGAAGAGAAAATATTTCTAAAACCATGGTGGTGGGGAGGGAGAGGGGCAAGCATTGGTTTGGGTGGAAGGGGTGGAGTTTCAGAGAAGGAGGGAAGAGAGGAAGAGAGGTGGGGGGGCCGGGGATTAAGTCCCTCCTGTGTCTCCAGACCCTCCCCACGAAGCACAGTGTTCCCTCGGGACAGGGCCTATAATTTGGTTTGTGTCTAGACAAATAATAACTCAGCTGGTGTGAACAGGGAGGGCTGAGGCAGGGCCCGCTAGGCGAGGGGCAGGGAGGCAGCCTGGCTCCAGGTGTCCCCCTGGGCAGTGAGAATTTAGGGGGCAGTTAGAGGTGGTGACGAACTGTCCCTCCCCACCCCCTGTTCCCCACCAGCCCCTGAGAATCCATAGTATCTTAGAATTCTGCACAGTTCTAGAAGGCAGGCTGCTGGAATGTTAAAAAACAGAATAGATAGGGAGAAATAGGAAGTGGGACTCACTGTATTTAGAGTCTGTTCCCATTTCTGTAAAAAAGAAAAGGGAAATATATATATTCGTGTTTGCTGGGGAAAGATAAAAATCACCGAGAGTTTAATAATAGATTATGAAAGTCATACAATGTTAAAAAAAATCATAGAGCATTCTAACAATAGAACTTTCAAATCTTGGAATGTGAGACTCCTAGAATATTGGAACCTTAGAAGGGTAAGCGCTAACAAAGCCACAGCGATGATAATAATAATAGAATGGGAGAAGAGTAAAGCTCTAGAATGTTATAATAGAACATTAAACTGTGAACTGAACCGACGCCAGAAACCGAGGATTTGAGAACCCTGGGTATCTAGAACGTCAGAGAGGTAGACTGTGAGGACTTTAGTATCCCTTCTGGGCAGTGTAGACGTGGGGAGTGGAAAGAGACCCCCTCGGTAGAAATGGGGAAACTGAGGCCCAGTGAGGCGGTCAGGGTGGCCTGCCTGGCCCCTGGTTTCCGCCTGGCTGCCAGGGCACCAGGTGGGGAGCGAGGCATGGTGATCACATTTCGTCCCTAATGAGCAGACCGGAGCTGGCCGGTCCCCTGGGGATGACAGGGGGAGGAGGAAAGCTGGAGCCCACAGAAGAAGGGGGAGGCAGCCTGGTGACTTGGGGACAAGACTGGTGAGCGGGCCGAGGGGTGGCAGGGGGCTGTGGGGGCTGTATCACTCCTCTCTCTTGTCGTCTCAACCCTCCAGGTCCTTTAGCCTTGCTGGATTTGGGGGTGGCTGGTGGGGCCCAGGGACTTATCCGGCCAGAGCAGCTGAGGCCTAAAGGAGGGGCTGGGTCCTCTAGTCTTTCCAGTCCCCTTCTGTCCCTCCACCCTTATTTCTCTTCCCTGACACTCTGGAAGGGGCCAGCAGGGACCCAACAGGGGGGCTTGTGGGACAGAGAACTTCTGGTAGGTCATGAGATTTGGGGGTTCAGCCCCCCCAACAGAGACAGAGTAAGGGCCACAACTTAGATTCCCACCAGAGACGGTCTTGATGCAGGGTGGGGTGGGGGAGCTGGGCAAGAGAACCAGGTATGGAAGGCCACTCCCTTTTTTTGTGTTGAGAAGGTCCATATCTTCCAGCAGATGCTCAAAGGGGTCTGAGAGCCCCCAGAAAGTCTTGAAAATAAGCTGCAGAGTGCAGGGAACAGGGAGAAAAACATTCAAGGAAGGGGAAGCTATTCGGCTCAGGGCTACCGGAGGTCTGCCCAGTCTTGACACATCATGTGACTTAGATGACTGCCTTGCTGGTCTGGGCCTCAGTTTCCCTATCTGTACCAGGACAGGGTCAGGAGTTGCCTTGTGTCCCCAGCTGCCACACATAGGCCCACTGCACTGTGGTATTCTAAAAGTCTGAGGTTCCCTGCTGACTTTGGGGGGATTGATGGCAGGCAGATCTCAGGCAGGGGAGAAGAGGGGGTGGTGTGAGAACCCCTCCCCCAGGCCCAGCACCCCCAAGACACAGGTGGGTTGGGGAGGAGGGGCAGAGGAGGGAGGGGGCGTGCCTGACTTTTTCTCCCTCGAGGAAATTAGCAATGGGAAGTGTATTTCCTCTGGCTGCCGGAAATGTCTCCAGCCTGTGTCCCAGCTCCAGCCTCAGCTGAGCCCTGGGGGTCCACAGAAGGTGGGGCAGAGGGGACCCAGCTCTTAAGAGCTGGCTCATTTCTTGTCACAGCTCTCCGGTGCCCACGGAATTACAAGAATTATTCAAATACTGCCCGTTATATAGACGATATCACATTCTACCAAAGATCTTCCTATCTGTGATGCGATTAGTATAGAGGTTGTGTTCCCTTTTACAGAAGGGGAAACTGAGGCTCCCGAAGGAGAAGTAATTTCCTCAGTGTCACAGGAGGAAGGAGGGAGACAACTGAGGGGCAGAGAGAGGAAGAGAAAGAGGACAGAGGAGAGGGGAGAGATGTATTGGGTGACACTGTCTGGGTGAGACGTTTCCATTTGAAAGGATGGCACCAGGAGTAAGCCCCCACCCATCCTGTCTCCGCAGGACCCCGAAGCCTCTGTCCACGGTGAGGCTGGGGTGGGGGCAGCAGCAGCTCTGTCTCCGAGGACCCCACAGGGGACAGGACTTACCGAGCGGGACTCAGCCCTGACCTTTCAAAGTGAATTATGAAGCACAGATCTGGGCTTTTCATCTCTCCCCCGCCGCCTGTTCCCCTGGGTCCCTCCCACCCTCGTCGGAGCCAGAGCCGGAGCTGGAGGTGGAGCCGGCTCACGCCGAGGGTGTGTGTTTCTCCTCCCTGCCTCCGGCCTCTGGATAGCTTCTGGAATGACTTCCATGTGCAGTCATTGTACATTGAGCGCCTACTGTACTCTGGGCCTCTCCCAGGGGCTAAGAATACGGCAGTCAACAAGGCACACAGAGTCCCTGCCCTCCTGGGACACCCAATCTAGACAGAGAGACAGACACAGACAGACAAGATACAAGGTGACAAGAAGAAAAGCTACCGCAGGGGGAGGTGGGCAGGGCTTTGGGTGGAGAGGGGCTCCCTGGGGAAGTGAGGGAGCTGAGCAGGCTAATCTTAAGATGTGAAGGGAGAATGTTCTAGACGGAGGGAACAGTAAGTGCAGAGGCTTTGGGGCTGGAAAAGTCAATACCGTTGAGCCTGCCAAGGTGGGCAGGGTCGGCGCAGCTGCCCAGACCACGCAGGCAGAGCCTTTTCACCTGGGCAAGGAGTTTGGATTTTACTGCGAGCCCATTTGGAAGCCACTGGAGCGTTTCAAGCAGAGAAGCAACAACAGCTGATCTCCACGTTAGAAAGCTCTTTCCGGCTGCCATGTGGAAAGTGAGTAAGTTGAAGGAAGCCAGGGTGGCAGCCCGGAAAAGCAGTGACTATGCTACTGCACCGGTCCGAGCAAGCAGCGATGGTGATGCAGAGCGGACAGTAGCAGGGGTTTTAGAGAGACACGTGCGGACACAGGATTCGCTGCGGAGGTGGAACCGAGAGCACGTTCCTATGGACAGAGGCTCAGGCGCCTGGAAGGTTCCCATGGGCCTGCTGTGTGACTTTGGGCTGTTCTCTTACCCTCTCTTGGCCTCAGTTTCCTCATCTATCCAATAGATTCAACTAGTGGTTTCCAAAGTGTGCCCTGGGGATTCTTCAGAAGTGGCCTCCCCACCCCCACTGCATTTCACCCCGAGCACAGGGCAGCGTCTCCTTTCCACTGTCTCAGGTTGGGTTTCCAGGTAAGATCTTGTTAAAAAAAAAAAAGTTTCACATCCAAAAAATCTAAACACGTGCAGACCCCTCATTGCAATGGCTCCGGATGGGACACGGGACTTTGCTGTCCTTTCTGGGGCTGGCCTCGTGACTATCTTCTACCCTGCGCATGTGGACATTCCCAGAACTGAGGGGGGCGACAGGCCCAAGGCTCTCGCTCAGGACAATTGGAGGGCAGAGGGAAGAGGCAGTGGAGGGAGTGGTCCCCGAGGGAGGGGACTGCTGGCGCTGGCCACAGGGCTTCCCCTTGCTCCCTGACCTTGAGCCAGCATCTGCTGCTTTCTGTCCCTTTGCTCTCTGTGGCTGTGGCTCCCAGTCCCCGCTGCTGTCAGCCCAGGCCCCTTTTCTGTTCGGTTGTCCTCGGGTGGGAACCGCAGCCCGGGCTGGAGAAAAGGGCTGAGGGCGGAGATTTTCTCTCTCCAGTCATCAGGACCTTGGACAGGTCTCGGAACAGCCCTGTGCCTCAGTTTGTCAAATAGGGAGAATAACTACTTTCCTCATAGGGCTATTGAAACTGCCAATGAAACAACGCCTGTAAACGTGCTTAGGATTGGCTGCTCCGTGGTAGGCCTCAGGAACTTAGGGCTCAAGGGCTTAGCTGTTATCATCATCATTGTCAAGAATGGGATGTCCTGGGTTAGGAGTGGGAGGCTGGTCCCCACCCTGGTCCCATCTCTGCGCTGTTCTGCATCCTTGAGGTGGCCCAGCCTCTCTGGTCCCTTTCTCCCCTCCCTGTGAATTGATAGCGTTAGACTAGTCTGACATTTCCTGAATGTAGTTGTACATTGTACTTGTAGCAGTTTTATAGTTTCTGGAAGAAAGTTCTAAAATCTGAGTTGGGTCTTTATTTTAACGTATATCAGGGAAAAAAATATGCGTGGCACCTTAAATCTGTGTTCCCAGAGATCTGCTGCTTAGGGGGGTGGGACTCAAGGTGGCATTGTCGGGGGTCCAGCCTCTGTGGTCCACGGGAGCGTGGGGGGAGGGGAGGTAGGGAGAAGAGGGCAGGATGTCTGTGAGTCCCCTCACCGCTGTCCTCTCTCCCCACAGGTGCTGCACAGCCAGCTGTGGCCTGGGCTGTCAGGCAGGGCCACTTCATTCCTGCTCCTCAGACCCCACCAGCACCAAGCAAGTCCCTCCCCTGCCCTCCTCAAACTCCCCCTTCCACCCAAACCCCTCCTCTGATCTAGCCTTTACTCACCTCCTTCCTGTTTCCTAAAATCCCTTCCCACAGTCCCCAGACTGAGCCTTTCCTCTCTGTCCACCCTCCGCAGGGCACCTCCCGCTCCGTAATCACCTCCTCGGGTACTTTACTCATTTCCTTTTATGTCCTGGGAAATGCCAGCACTCCCACCTGCGTTGCCTGGTCCTTCCAACACTCTGTAACTGTAGTCTGTCTGGTCTCAACACTGTGTTGCATATTTCCTGTGCCTTCTAGAACATTCCGCTCCCCCTGCCATTACTTCAACACCTAGCACACTTACCTCCTTGCTCCTCTACAAACATCTTCCTCTCACCGCTGCCTGCTGGTGCTTTCATCCATGCTATAAACACTGTCCTCGGCCAGTTTTTGTGTCACCCCCATATTCTCTCATTTGTGCCCTGATTGGGTCTATAAACACCCCCTTGACAAAGCTCTTTATTCATCTGCCATCCAAATCTCCCTGCTGTTGTAACTCTATCCCTCGTCCAGCCTTCTGCTCTCAGGCCCTACCCTCCCCTGCTCAGCCTGTGCCTCGATTCACGGTCAAGCTCCTCTCTTCCCCGTGGGCTGCCTCCCGCCATGTTCCCCTGAGCCTCCAAGGAAGGGGCTCAGGGGGCCCCATGGCCTCCCGCTGCCCGTGGCCCCACAGCCCCCGCGGGCCAGGGGAAGCGTCCAGAAAGCCTCAGTGCCGAGGATGGGCAACCGCACGTGGGAGGGCTGCCACGTGGACTCGCGCGTGGACCACCTCTTCCCACCGTCCCTCTACATCTTCGTCATTGGCGTGGGGCTGCCTACCAACTGCCTGGCCCTGTGGGCGGCCTACCGCCAGGTGCGGCAGCGCAACGAGCTGGGGGTCTACCTGATGAACCTCAGCATCGCCGACCTGCTGTACATCTGCACGCTGCCGCTGTGGGTCGACTACTTCCTGCACCACGACAACTGGATCCACGGCCCCGGCTCCTGCAAGCTCTTCGGGTTCGTCTTCTACACCAACATCTACATCAGCATCGCCTTCCTGTGCTGCATCTCGGTGGACCGCTACCTGGCCGTGGCGCACCCGCTGCGCTTCGCCCGCCTGCGCCGCGTCAAGACGGCCGTGGCCATCAGCTCCGTGGTCTGGGCCACCGAGCTGGGCGCCAACTCGGCGCCCCTGTTCCACGACGAGCTCTTCCGAGACCGCTACAACCACACCTTCTGCTTCGAGAAGTTCCCCATGGAGGGCTGGGTGGCCTGGATGAACCTCTACCGGGTCTTCGTGGGCTTCCTGTTCCCGTGGGCTCTCATGCTGCTGTGCTACCGCGGCATCCTGCGGGCCGTGAGGGGCAGCGTGTCCACCGAGCGCCAGGAGAAGGCCAAGATCAAGCGGCTGGCCCTCAGCCTCATCGCCATCGTGCTGGTGTGCTTCGCGCCCTACCACGTGCTCCTGCTGTCGCGCAGCGCCGTCTACCTGGGCCGGCCCTGGGACTGCGGCTTCGAGGAGCGCGTCTTCTCGGCCTACCACAGCTCGCTGGCCTTCACCAGCCTCAACTGTGTGGCCGACCCCATCCTCTACTGCCTCGTCAACGAGGGCGCCCGCAGCGACGTGGCCAAGGCCCTGCACAACCTGCTCCGCTTCCTGGCCAGCGACAAGCCCCAGGAGATGGCCAACGCCTCGCTCACCCTGGAGACCCCACTCACTTCCAAGAGGAACAGCACGGCCAAAGCCCTGGCTGCTGGCTGGGTGGCGGCTCCGTCCTCCCACGGGGACCAGGTGCAGCTGAAGATGCTGCCACCGGCACAGTGAACCCCGACTGGTGCAGAGCCCCCAGTCCTCCTGTCGCATCCCACAGCCCCTTCTTTCCTGGTCTGGCGTATGCAGATTGTATGTAAATAAGGCTTGTTAATATTCATAAGATTGCAAAAACACAGGAAAAGAGTGAGGTTAGTGTGTCACTGGTTGGCCATCATCCTCCACCGTGACCCCCTAACAACTGAGTGGAACTGTGCCTAGCTCTGTGGTGCTGGTGACACAGCGTGACAAACGACAGCCCTGGCTGGCCCTGCCCTCATGGGCTCCCAGACCCCACCACAGTCTGCAGGTCAAGGAGGGCGTCTTGGAGGAGGAGATGAATAAATTAAGTCAAATGTTTGGTTTCCAGAAGGTAAAGATAAAAACAGAAAGGTTAGGCCGGGCGCGGTGGCTCACGCCTGTAATCCTAGCACTCTGGGAGGCCGAGGCGGGCAGATTGCTCGAGGTCAGGAGTTCAAAACCAGCCTGAGCAAGAGCAAGACCCCGTCTCTACTATAAACAGAAAGAAATTAATTGGCCAACTAATATATATAGAAAAAATCAGCCGGACATAGTGGCGCATGCCTGTAGTCCCAGCTACTCAGGAGGCTGAGACAGGAGGATTGCTTGAGCCCAGGAGATTGAGGTTGCTGTGAGCTAGGCTGACGCCACGGCACTCACTCTAGCCTGGGCAACAGAGTGAGACTCTGTCTCAAAAAAAAACAACAGAAAGGTTAGAATTTTTCCAGCAAGGGGGCAGAAGTCTGTGACTCCAGGGGAAGGTGGAAGGAGAAATTCACTGGATCAGAGTTGTTATGTTTACTGTTGGGAAGGCCCCCGGTCATGCCGGGGAGAAAGTATAAGACAGAGCAATTCTAAGGTTCTAGAAAAACAGCATTCTCCAAGTCAGGGCTGAGGACCAAGAGGGAGAATGTCAGAACCCGAGTGACAGGCAATCAGGCAGACTGCCTGGAGGAGGCGCAAGTTGGGCAGGCTTGGGAAAGAGGCTCAGGACAAGAAGAAGGGTATTTATTCATTCATTCCACAGAGATTTATGCCTGCCACTGAGCTGGATGGGACTGGGGATACAGCAATGGCTAAGACAGCCCTGGCCCGGGGCTCATGATAAACAAATAAGTAAAAATAGACATAATGTTTGGAATTGCTAAATGTAAAGGGGCAAAATAAAGCCAGTTGAGGGGACAGAAGGTGACTTGGAGTCTCATCCAAATAAGGACAGGGGAGGGCTCCCTGAGGTGGCTTTCCAGCAAAGACCTGAAGGAGGTGAGGTGGTCAGCCCTGTGGCTGTTGCAGGAAGAGCATTTTGGGCAGAGGAAAGAGCAGGTGTGAAGGCCGGGGGATAAGAGAGTGTCTGGGCTTTGAGGGACAGCAGGAGAAGCAGTGTGGCTGGGGCGGTGGCAGGAAGGATGAGAGGGCTGGGAGATGAGACCAGGGAGGGCACAGAGGCAGATTGTGGGGGCCCACGCAAGGCCCACTGAGGACTTTGCCTTCTTCTCCAAGATTAATGGGAGCTTAGCAGAGGACGCATGTAATTTGACTTAAATATTAACAGGATCCTGCAGGCTTCTGAGTGAGGAAAAGAATATGGGAGATAAAGGCAGAAGCCAGGAGCCCAGTGACTCGATGACTGCAGTAGACCAGGCAGGAGGTACTGGTGGCTGGGCGGGGTGGGTGGCACTGGTGGCTTGGGCATGGATCAGTGGTCAGCTGTATAGTTTATTGTGTAGGAATTCTTTGATGGAAGAAGCACGGGGCCTGTGGGACTATGTAACATAAGCCCCTTGCCCATTCTGGGAAAAGGGTGACCAGGGGGCCTGCAGAAAGAGCCTCTGGGAAGGATCCCAGGCCCTAGTCCAAAACGGTCACCAGAGAGGCCAAGCGACTAGTCCAAGGTCGCATGGCCAATGAGTCAGCACTGGGGCCATCCTGGGCTCCCTCTCTCCTCCCCATCTCTGCCTCTGTTCCCACGCCCCTGCGTGGCCAGGGCTGCCTGCTCCGGCTAATGGCTTCCCCTCCCTCCCCTGGTCACAGGGATCACCAGGAATGGCCATCGTTCTATAACTGGGCTGGAGGGCAGGGGGAAGCACCCCATTCTGGACAGACCTTGTCCCTCCGGGAAAGTCTCCTCCTCCCTTCTTCCTCCCTGTGTGTAAACAGGCTCCTGAGATGTGCTGATCTCCTTAAACACACACACACACACGCACACACACACACACACAGATGCACTTCTGAAGTTCCCAGAAGAGGTTCCTGGAAACCTTTCTCAGAGAAAGGAAGAGGAAGGAGGAAAGAAAAGGGAAAAAAATGCACTTAATGAGGAAAATGATTTTTTCGGGGGCGGTATGTAGGAGGTGGAGGGAGTACTGAGATGCAGGAAGTCTGGGCTTTGGTGTTGGGAGCTAGAGAAAGGAGGGAGGCCTGGTACCCTGACCGACTGCTATAAAGCTGCTGGGATGGAGATGGAGGGGTCAGAAATGTTTTGAACATAGTTCCCCTGGAGAATCAGATGAAAGCCTAGACACTACCCGTTCCTGCCAAATGCTCATTCCCATTCATTCAATACATATTTATTGGGGCCGGGCGCGAAGGCTCACACCTGTAATCCTAAGTTCGAGACCCCGTATCTACTAAAAATAGAAATTAATTGGCCAACTAAAAATATATAGAAAAACTTAGCTGGGCATGGTGGTGTATGCCTGTAGTCCCAGCTACTCGGGAGGCTGAGGCAGAAAGATGGCCTGAGCCCAGGAGTTTGAGGTTGCTGTGAGCTAGGCTGACATCACGGCACGCTAGCCCGGGCAACAGAGTGAGACTCTGTCTCAAAAAAAAAAAAAAAAAATTTTTTTTTTTGAGCACCTACAGTGTAAGCAGGCATTGTTCTAAAAGCTTAGGAAATAGCAGTGGATTATACCTAAAAATGTCATGTACAAGTTTGGAAGTTTCCTAGACCCCTGATAGGGACCCTCAGCCCCACAGTAGGTCCTTGGGCTCCAGGCTAACACCCTTAAGGATCAGGAGAAGGCCTTTGCCTGCGCCCGGAGAAATCTCAGCCTCAGCTCCACCCTAATTACCTCTGGAACTTTGGGCAAATCCTTTTCATCCTCTGGCCTCACTTGGCCTGTCTGTAAAATGGGAAGAGGATTGGTCCCAAGTGGATTATGGACCTTAAACAGGTCCAGGTTCACTCACACCTTCAACCTAGAAGGGATTCTGGGAAGGGGTTGTTTTTATGGAATCTTGGCATTCTTAGTAATTTAGAATATCTGGGTACACACACACCAGCACCATCATTACAGATGAAGAAACTCGGTCCCTTGGTGCCAGACACTTGACAAAGGACACTCAGAGTCAGAGTGGATGCCAACAGTGAATGCCAGGGGCCCCTGACTCTGTGTTCTGAATGTATGTTTCCTCCTACACACCAATCCTCGGCCCTTCTGTCTCCTAGCCTTCCACCGCTCCTAGAATCTCTCAGTTACCCACTAGCACGCCATCATCCAGGAATTTCTCCTAACCTCTTCCTAACATTGTTTATATGATTTTGCTCCCTGCTGGGTAAGGGAGGACAGTCTGGGACATGTCCTTAAACTCCTTCCTGAGCCAGCTCCCTGGGGACCCTACCACCAACGGAGGAAGTGGGGCTGCTTGAGAAGGGGTATAGTTTTATTAGCCAGGACGTTGGATTATCAGTCTCTGCAGGCTGAGGAACTGGTGCCTGCCCCCTGACCCCCTCTGAGCCTCAGCCTCCTTATCAGTGACTTGGGAAAGGGTTGGATTAGCTGTTCCTGGGGATGAAATGCATCCTTAGGCTGGAGCTAGCAAGAACAATGCTAATACCGTATAAGGGCGGTTTACTGCACGCTTATTAAGCGACCGGCACCATTCTAAGCACTTAACATTGTTCATTCATTATGTTTTACACTCAAGATTCGCATGCAGACTTCACAACAACCCAGTAAGGAAATGCTATCACGATTCTCCTTTTGTAGATAATAATACCAAGGTCCAGATAAGTCAAGTCACTCGTGTACCATCACACAGCGAGTATATGGCGGAGCTGGGATTCCAACCGAGGTCGGTGTGACTGCGCAGCCAGTTTCCGCTCTTACTCCCAGAGAGGGCGCTGGCCTGCAAAGGAAGGTGTACCCGGAACTCATTAGATCTAATTAGGACTAATTAAGAGCCTCCTTTGGGTGGGGAAGCCGACTCGGTACGTGACATCACTAAGTAGCAGTGACATCGGACAAGGCGGGCGTGGGAATCCGTCCCCACTCCCGCGAGCAGCCGTTTAACGGCGCCGCCCCCTGACCGCCTCACTTCCGCGTTTTATTTGCATATTCAGCGAACGGACGTCGGGACGCCAGCTTCGACGCGGTGACGTCAGAGAGCGCCCCTGCAGTTCCTCCCGAGCGTGCGTCCGTACGTACGCACGCACGGCCACAAGCGGGCAGGGGAGGAGTGGCGAGATCCGAGGCGCCCCACCCAGTCAGCAAGGTTGCGCGTGCCCCGTGCGACCGCCAAGATGGTGGTGGGCGCGTTCCCTATGGCGAAGCTGCTATACTTGGGCGTCCGGCAGGTCAGCAAGCCGCTTGCCAACCGCATTAAGGAAGCCGCCCGCCGAAGCGAGTTCTTCAAGACCTATATCTGCCTCCCGCCGGCTCAGCGTGAGTCTGACCCCAACCTTTCCTTTCTCCAACCCCTCTCAGGTGGTTGCTTAGGGGAGGACTTCTGTCTACGACCAATCACAGCCCGAACCGGCAAAGTCCTGTAGCCAATAGGGAGAGTTCCTGGGAGAGGGGCGTGCGGGTAGCCCAATAGGGAGGATGAGGCGTAGGGTAAGGGGCAGGGCAGCGCGCCAACGCGCGAGTTTGGAATACCATCCAATAGAGGAAGAGAGCGCGTGGAGACTGACGTCCTGGCAAGCCAATAGTGTGGCGGACGGGAGAAATTTCGGCGAGGCTTTCCAGGACTGAGACTAGCTGGGGGCGGGGCTGAGGGACCGGACCGGGTCCTTTGCCAGGCCATTCTAGGGCGACTTCACTTCCAAACTCTACCCTGTACTTCAGTTTCCCTTCTGCCCTGGGCGGTAGGAGGTGCTTGTATGTCTTCCGTTTAGGACATCCGTGAGCCTCAGTTTTACCCTGCGTAATAGGCCTGGGTCAGAGGTGAAGGCAGGGATCTGGGGGCGTGCCTGGGAATCAAGCCAAAGGGGAATTTTCACCAAAGTGGACATTTGTCTGTATATTCATTAATGACTCATACACCGTCCAGGCTTTTGCAGGGCACTGGGAGACACACTCCTGATCTATCAGTGTCAAACCAGAGTGGTCAGGGCAGTGGGGAGCTCTAGAGTTCAGAGGAGTTGGCCGACCCAGGAACTGCCTAGAGGGGGGCTGCCCGAGCTGAGATCTAAAGATCTAAATGCTCCAAATATTAGCTACTTTTAAAAGGTGATCTATGGGCCTGGGCGCGGTGGCTCACACCTGTAATCCTAGCACTCTGGGAGGCCGAGGCGGGAGGATTGCTCGAGGTCAGGAGTTCGAAACCAGCCTGAGCAAGAGCAAGACCCCATCTCTACTATAAATACAAAAAAATTAATTGGCCAACTAATATATATATAGAAAAAATTAGCTGGGCATGGTGGCGCATGCCTGTAGTTCCAGCTACTCCGGAGGCTGAGGCAGGAGGATTGCTTGAGCCCAGGAGTTTGAGGTTGCTGTGAGCTAGGCTGACGCCAGGGCACTCACTCTATCCTGGCCAACAAAGTGAGACTCTGTCTCAAAAAAAAGGTGATATATGGGCTATAGACTGTGGGAACATAAAACGAGGGAATTTAATGTAATTTGCTAGGTCAGGGAACCATCCATCCATGACTTCATTTAGCTAGCATTTTGAGAACATCTGCTCTGTGCCAGTGCTGGCAGTGCTGGTGAAACAGCAGGGACCAAACCAAACCCAATCTGTGCTCTCAGGGAATTCGTAGTCCAGTGGGGACACACCTGTCCCCCAACAGTGACTACCTATAGTGGACAGAGCTGGGGTGGGGGCTCCCCCGGGCACCTGACCTGGCCTGGGGTTCAGAGAGGGCTTCCTGATAGAGGAGTCATCTGACCTAGGACCTCAAGTATGAGGAGAATCTCACCAGACAACATGGGGACAGGGATGGTATTACAGCAAAAGGAGGCGCAGGTGCATCTTTCCCCCCCTGCAACTTTGAGTGCTTAACGTTTGCTCTCAGGGCATAGAATTCTTGGTCCTTTGATCCTTGGTGGGGCCTTTTCCAGGACTGAAGATCTTAGAGTGGAAAAGAACTGCATTTCAGTTACCAACATGCTTTTGTGTCCACTATCTCGTTTGACCCTCACAACTGTTTTGTTCCCATGTCAGGAAAGGAGAATGACTTCCTCCAGTTTACAGAAGGAAAACTGAAGCCTTGAGGTCTGAAGTGAATTTGCCCATGGGGTTTGTGTCAGAAGCAGAACTTGGACTCTGGACTCCTACACATAGTCTGTTTCCTGCCACTGCCATTCTTCCAAACAACATGACATGTCTTAGCATTATGGTTTAGAAAATAGCTTCTGGAGTCTGACAAGGGTTTAAATCCTGGCCCCACCCCTGCCCAGGCTGATGACTTTGCGCAGCTCACTTAACCCCTCTGGACCTCAGTTTCCTCTTCTGTACAATGGATATTATGTAATAGCAGCATTAATGAGGCTCTTACTTTGTGCCAGGCCAGACATTGAATCCTCACAAATTATTATGAAGTCGATACTATTATTATTCCCATTTTGTATATAGGCTATATATGAATTTATGCTATAAATAATACTTATTGTGTCGTGAGGATTAAATGGATATAAAATGTTAAGTCAGTGCTTGGCAGTGAGTTATGGCTGTTGTGTAGATTTTATGGATACAACAGAGAGGAAAAAGCAAGTAATCTTGCCCTGGATTCTCATGGGGAAGCCAGACAAATTAAATAGTTAAAATATGAAGTATATTAGATGGCAATAATTACTCTGGACAAAAACTCAGGGATGCAGAATGAGGAGTATTTGAGGGAAGCTTATTTAGATAGGATTGTCAGGGTGGCCTCATTGACAACATGCAAAGGAGTAGAGGCAGCAAGCAGTGTTGGTGTCTGGGGGAAAGGCATTTGAGCCCAATTGATCTGATATGCAAAGGCCCTGAGGTAGGATGCACATTTGACCTGAAATTCATGGTGATGGGAAAGGGAGGCGGCTCTGCAGGGTCAGCGGCCACCGCAAGTGCTTTGGCTTTACTCTGAGTTGAACAAGGCTCACTGGAAGGTTCTGTACATACGAGGCACAGGGTCTGAATTATATTTTATTTAATAATAGAATCCTTTTGGATTACAGGGTGAGGGTGGATGCAAGCAGGAGGCGGCTATTATAGTCCAGACAGGAAGTGACTGGGGAGAAGGTGTCAGATTGCGGAGATATTTTTTCCTAAGCTTCTTTTTAAATGTTCAAGCCCTCAGAAAAGTTGAAATGATCATATAGTTATCACTTGTATACCCTTTACCACCGACTCCATCAGTTAATGTTTTCTTTTTTGTTTTTGGTAGAAGCAAAAGGTGGAGAATATCAAATAATTATTAATTATTAGTTATTACACACTTTTTTCCTCAACTATTTAAAAATAAACTGTGAACGTGACACTTCACTCCTAAATAGTTCAACCTGTATCTCCTAAGAAGGAAGACATTGTCCCCTATATTAATAACGTGGTACCAATATCACATCTGAGTAATTTAACATTGATAACAAAATGTTGATAACAGGCCAGTGTGGTGAGGTGGCTCATACCTGTAATCCTAGCACTCTGGGAGGCCGAGGCAGGAGGATCCTTTGAGCTCAGGAGTTTGAGACCAGGCTGAGCAAGAGTGAGACCCCGTCTCTACTAAAAATAGAAAGATTTTAGCTGGACAACTAAAATTATATAGAAAAAATTAGCGGAGCATGGTGTCACACGTTTGTAGTCCCAGCTACTCGGGAGGCTGAGGTAGTAGAATTGTTTGAGCCCAGACATTTGAGGTTGCTGTGAACTAGGCTGACGCCATGGCACTCTAGCCCGGGCAACAGAATTAGACTCTGTCTCAAAAAAAAAAAAAAAAAAGTTTCATAGTAATACAGCCATACCTATTTGTTTACATATTTTCTATGGCTCCAGAGTTGAGTTTGTATGGCCTACAGACTACAATACTTACTCTCTAGGCCTTTACAGAAAACATTTGCTGACCTTGCTCTAGAACAGTATCTCTGTCCTTTCTTGTTTTTTGTGACATTGACATTTGGAGCCAGTTGTCTGGTAGTGTGTCGCACAGATGGCCAGGAGTTTTCTGATTGTTTCCTCTGATTGGATTCCCACCGAGCATCTTTGGCAGGAACACCACAGAGGTGACGGTGTGTCTTAAGGACGTGCCTTCAGGGGGCCTCTGATGTCTGTTTGTTCCGTCATTTGTGATGGTCACTTGGATCCCTTGGTTAAGGTGTTACCACGGCAAGAACCTTTCCTTTTCCTCTTAGTAATGAATAACCAGGAGATTAGGTTGGGTGGGCGAGCTGGCAGGATTTCCTGTGGATTGGGTGTGAGGTGGCAGGCTGGAGGAGGGGCAGATTGCACAGGAAGGATCGGGAGTTCAATTTGGGACAGGTTGAGTTAGAGATGCTACTAGCACCTGGAGTGTACTGAGTTTTTATGTTTTCTCCTTTTTTATTATGTCATTATCGTCTCCACACTGCTAATTGCCCTTGGCCATGGCCTCTAGCTAAGGTCATTGGTGTTTCCCAGAGTCAGTGGCATCTGTGTATTCTCCCGGGACAGGACTCCCAAGCTGTCCGACACACCCAGTGACATTATCCAGCGTCTCTACCTTTGGCTGAGATTCTTTTGACTCAGCAGGCTCGGCCTGACTATCCCTTCACTGGAGAGTCTGGAGCGCTAGCTGCCTGAGGGAAGAACAGTAAGTGCAAGAAGCATGGATCATCCCTGGTGCTCTGGGCTGGAGAGACAAAGATCTCTTCAAACAAAGAATTCCTGGGGGAGAAAAATAATAGAGGTTGGTGAGGCCAGGCAGGTTGGAGGCACTTCTGCAAAGAGCACTTCTGATGCTTCTAGGGAAGCTGTGGGTTGTCCCTGGGCAGTGGGAAAATTCTAGTGTATTTCGTCTTTTCCCTTTGGAGTGCACTGGTCATTTTTCTAGTTGACGACACATGGTTGACAGAATAGTGGTCCCACAACGATGTCCACATTCTGATCCCGAGAACTTATTGTATATGTTACTGTACATAGCAAAGGAGACTTTGCAGATTTGATAAACTCAAGGAATTTGGGATGGGGAGAGAAGCCTGGATTATCCAGGTGGAGCCGATGTAATCACAGTGTCTTTGTAAGGGAAGAGGGAGGCAGGAGAGGGAGTGATTTGGTGATGCTGCTCTACTACTGGCCTTGAAGACTCAGAAAAGAGGCATGGGCCAAGGAATGTGGGTGGCTTCTAGAAGCTGGCAAAGCCAAGGAAATCCCCTGGAGACACTAGAAAGGACCACACTTCCCCTGACCCCTTGAGTTTAGCCTAGTAAGACCCATTTTGGATTTCTGACCTCTAGAACTGTAAGATAAGAAATCTGTGTTGCTTTAGTCC